CTGGCTTCTCACCGTGTTCGGCGCTTCTCACGTCGCCCCCGCCTTTGGTCTCGCTCTTCGTAGAAAAGTGACAGACGCCAAGATCAGGAGCAAACGGGGGTAAAGGAAATCATGCAACTGTTCAGTATGTGGTCCCAGTCTATAAGTTTCAGGTAACTTTACATTCAGAGTCCAATCCCACAGTGTTGGCTTATTGCTGTGAACTTTATGCGAGGATACAAAACAGATGTGCATGAGTGCACACGCCAAGCACGCCTTATTGTCATATTATTAGTATTGGTTTCATGCCATCGCATGGACGTTACTATATCGTCCTTACAAGACGATTTATCTTCCTGTTTTCCCTTTCGAGATCGCAGACAGTAATATCATCCTCCGTAGCAAGCTGCGGCTACATGTTCTCCTTCACAACCGTGACCGGGCAGGCCGCGTGGTTCACAACGTAGGTGCTCACGCTCCCCATCAGAGCCCTGCCGCCAAGAAACAACAGCGGTCACATGAATCCCAAACAAGAATGAGAGAAAGCAATATGGTCATATATACAGGATCAAGCTCATCAAGTTAGATATCCACGGTTTGACCATCGACCGCAGGCTCGACAAATTGCAGGTAAAGTTCGGCAACAGACCGAACATGCTGAATCTGTGCGTATGCATACCTCTTGAGCGTGCTCAGACCTCTGCTTCCGATGATCAGGCAGCTGAGGGGAACCAGGTCGACTGCCTCGCACAGCTTCTTGGTCGGGTCGCCGTAGAATATCTTCCCAAAGACCTCAACCTGCAACCATTCAGTTTCGACGACAAGACAATCAGCACACAGGAATGATATCTAGCATAGGAATTTGATCAGGAGTAGCGATCACTACAAAATTCTGAGGATGAAAGATGAAAAAACTGGTACCCCGCTCTGATGTGCCACTTGGGCCAGGATCTCCTGTGTCTCCTTGTCTGGTGACAGGCCGTACTTCTTTGTGACATGGGGGTCCGAGAACTCTACCAGAGGGATGAGCGCTGAAATCCACAAGAAATTGCCATTTCAGAAGCATGGTATGGCACAATGGAGAACACAGACATACAGACTTTGTTCATCGGTTGATCATGTTGCAGCACTCACTATGGCTATCCTACGGATTTGAAGATACAGAAAACGAGAATAGTCATCGTCGGGGGGCGGACTTACGTGAACCACTCTCTTCCCAGAGATGCATCGCTCCTTGCTCATTCTGGTAGGAATTGTTGACATGGAGCAGCACGAGTTGATCACCGCTCCTGGCAAGGTTGGTTGACGCCCATCGAAGAGCAGCTTTGCTGCATGATGAGAAGTCCACAGCAACTCCGATATTCCTCCCACCCATCTCCCTGCAAAGCTCAGATAAACAGACAGGTTTGCGATTTCCAGACCAGTGCGTCTTACAATGGCAAATTGGCAATGAGGTTTCAGCTGTGGCCAGGTCCTTAAATAGATAACAAGAACTAGTATTATTATTCAAAAGACTAAACGAAAGAGGGTGAAAACATAAGCTGAGCCGATGGTCTTTCTCCTCTTGTCACTTTGCCTGATTCCTTATCACCCCACTTTACCTCCCCCAGGAAACAGACATGTTCCACTTGCTTACCTCTGCTAGAGAAGCCTATTGGTACAAGAGGCATGAAAAAATCAAGATTCATTATGCAAAGCAAAAGGGGCAAAAAAGAATTTTACTCCAGTTTCTTTCATGCCACTGGCACTGGAATGCAGATTCTACTTCATCGGTTAACTAAAGCAGCACCGTCGGCACGGCACCAGGTATGGACAAGAGGAAAGAAATTCTGATGTAAACTGATTCTCACCAAAGCAGCAACCAAAGAAAAGCCAGGTTGATCAGGAATAAGATAGTGCCAGATGCTTCCAATACAGATGAAATGAAAGATAAAGAATTTTTGATATGGGGAATCTGATAAGATGCAGTGTAGCAGTTTGGCATTTGATAAAAATAAAATGACTCAGCCAGCTATTCTTTACAAGAACAACATCAATAACAAGTTCAACACTTCTGTTAAGACAGATAATGTACTTGTATCCCGATCCGGCATGCAAAATAAAGAAAATAAGAGAGAACAGGCCTTGTTACATCATAGGTAACAACAGAATGATCTTCATATCCCAAATAAACTCAGTGTCATGTATTTCCAAAGACAGATAGTAATATCTATATCCATATCTGGCATGCAGAATTAAGAAAATATGAGACAACGGGCCTTGTCACATCATAGGTAAAACAGAATGATCGCATATCACTATAAACTCAGTGCCATGTTAGGTCTAAAGAAAATACTGCAGAGAAATGCAACTCAAATTGATGTAAGTTCACACTGCAAGCAGATCAAGTTAATCGATGCATCCATCAAACAAATTCCATGGATGACCAGTAGAGCTAGATCTTCCGGATAAACTTGTGTTGTGATATTAAAGCATTTTAGCATTACATGCAAAAGCAGAGCTCCGGAACATTGAGATTCAGTATTCCCTAATACAGATGTCAAAAACTACAGGTAACTACTGTTATTAACCAGCTCTTCAGAATGAGAAGTTACAAGTACAACTGCTCTACTCTCTTGTCATACGACACATGATAGATCCACCAGTTGCCCAGAATTCCAATCACATGCAGTACTGTTCTGTCCTTTAATTCGACCGTCCCAATAGAAAAGAACTTGTAGTCTTCGGTATCAACTTTTCTTGTCTGGATGACCTGAAGGCAAATGAAGAAGGGTTATAACTATAAAATTAGTACATAAAAGGAGCGCTGAGGAGCTAAATATTGTCATGCATATGGATTGACCTTGCTGACACTATCCATTACTTCACCAAAAATCATAAGCTTGATTTTCAGAATTCATGTTTCCTTTATAAACATGCAATTCAGACATAAATTAAAAAAGCTGGAGTCACTGAAACATACTACCTCTGCCCATAAATATAAGACGTTTTTTGCAGTTCATATTTATGGACAGAGGTAATCTAACTTAATTGAATTGACATTATACCTAAATTTCAATAACAGCAAATTTCTTTTGTTTGCGGTGACAGAAAGCATGGCAGAGAGCTGCAAGCATAAGTATAGCATCTCAAAAGCTGCAGTCGACTAGTTCTGTCCAGGTGATGGCGTAACTCCACCGAAGCAGCACAAGAACAATTTACCAAATCATAAACTAGTACTCGAAATACAGGAAAAGTAACACAAGTGCCAAAATATCCAATTAAAAGATAAGAGGTCTGCAGTTCTCCATCAGGAACCAAGGGTGAATCGTGAAGCTTTGCATACTTTCTGCCTAAATTATATTCTCTACTCCACAAGTACAAGTCATTTTTTACTTCATGGTCTTTTGAATAGTTTCGACTATGGTTAAGGTCATTTTTACCTTCAGGAACCAAAGAAAAATCACGAGGCTTTGCAGTTCTCATTTTTTTGCAGAAATTTTGATTATGATTTTTTGGGCAATATACTAGCTACGAAAGCTAAACTTTAATAGACATGGTCCATGTTCTTCTATGGCTCCTTGCCAATAACAGAATCCTCATGTGTGATACCATTCAAAAACACCGAAATGTTAAAGACAAGGCAATAAGGCATGCTTGTTTTGTGCTGAATCAATCAGTGCATAACTTGTTTTTTGGCTGTGTTGTGGTGGCCAAACAAGAGTGGAAAATGATCTCTGGTATATTCGGTGTCCAGATAGGTTCTGACTTTGAATATCCTTGTCGTTGGTGGTTGAACAAATAATAAGAATGCAATTTTGAATTTGTTATGCTAGGCTACTCTCTGGTTAATAACTCAATATGGTCTTTTACAGAATCAACTTTGTTTTCAGGGCAAAAACTGGCACGGTACAATAATGCTCTGGAAACTGATGGCACACATTGGAAGATGGAAGATGCTATTCAAAGATGCTCACTCAAGATTGCTCAACTGCAACCTGCTGCTCCTCAAGAGGATGAGGGGAGAACTGATGAGGGTTGCCCAGAAGTGAAAATGATCAAGTGTGGATTTGCCCCCATCGAGTTAGGTGTAGCGGAGATGCGATGTTGAGACGGATGTGTGGCCACACAAGAAAGGATCGGGTCCGGAATGATGTTATGCGTGAGAGAGTTGGGGTAGCAGTGACTGAAGAGAAGCTTGTCCAACATCATTTGAGATGGTTTGGGCATATACAGCGCATGCCTCCAGAAGCTCCGGTGCATAGCGGACGGTTAAAGCGTGCTGATAATGTCAATAGAGGTCGGGGTACACCAAACTTGACATGGGAGGAGTCCATAAAGAGAGATATGAAGGACTGGAATATCACCAAAGAATTAGCCATGGACAGGGGTGTGTGGAAGTATCCACATGCCAGAACGGTGAGTTGGTTTCGAGATCTTATGGGTTTCAGCTCTAGCCTATCCCAACTTGTTTGGGACTAAAGGCTTAGTTGTTGTTGTTGTTGACAAACTCTGCAGTCGCTCTCCATTGCCAACAGATTGCACAAGGCAACAGGCTTTTGATCAACTGGTTCAAGAGAACGCACTGAAGAAGCTTTGAACATGCTCCAATATATTTCTGCCGGTCACCTTAGCTCGTCTTAGATTTGGTCTTACTGCCTCAGCTCCTTTTGTTTCACTGTTTCTATCCACTGCCTAAAACTGTACCTGGGTTAGTTCATTAAGCACAAGGATGCATACTGTAGATACGCAAAATATGTGAATCTCGAAGCCCGAACTCATGCTGGATCCAACGGTGGTAGCTACCCTCCAGGGATAAAAAATCTGGTCTCATGTTTAGAGATGGAAGGAGTACGATGCACATAATTCACACCACTTCAAAGATTTACACTACAGACAGATGAGTGGCCCAAAACTTGAAACCTACAAGCATGACCCTCTGGTCAATGTTCCAAACCACCTTTACCTAAGGTAGACGTATCATTGATGTCGGGTTCTGGTTTGGTATAAGAGCAATGTGGTATTGAGATGAAGGATCGAAACAGCATCATCCTCCAAACTGTTTCCAGAAAAGGGTATAATCTTCTTAATGTGTTCAAGTTTAGGGGGGTATTTTGGGGTTCTTCGATTGTGCAAAGGCTAAAAATAAAATGTGAATGAAAGTTCATGACCAAATGGAAAGCACTTCAGATAATGTGGTGT